CTACGAACACGTGGATAATTGTATGTACTTGTTGTTAGCTTGCAAGGTTAATCAACACGTTGTATATTTTTCAAAAAACTCAGAACCGGGGAAACATATACCGTACTTATGGAAGGAATGAAAGCAAGTTTGACGTTCAGATGACATCGCCTCTACTTCAAGTTATTTTATTTCCCTCACAATAATATATACACCTATTATTATGTGAACAATAAATGACATTTATTTAGCACCCGTACAAATCAATAATTTTATGTCAGGCTGTAACGTTTCACCTATAATTTTTGTCTATATACCTAGATGTATATGTAATAATTTGGAACAAGGCTGGCAGGTCGGGCAGTTACGGAATAGAACATGGCTCTCACGCCTGATTTCCAGGCCCAATACTGATCATCGTTGGTCAGAGGTCTAAAATTAACGAGCGATGATTGGCTGTCCACTCATAAGCCTTATCTCCAGCCTCTGGACCAATCACAAAGGTCGTTGACCATCCTTTGTCCTCAGAGATGTGATTTCCCATCAGTGTTGATGTTGTAGAACTTTTATAACAAACTCATCTGAAATTTAATCTGTACCTTTTAATTTCCCTCCCTAACTTTTCCCACTCAAATTTCACACTGCTGGGTTTGAGATCCTACTGAACTGAATCTTTCAATTTTCACATGATATTATTGTACATGTCTTCATATATATTTCTATTGTATTCATTACACCTATGGTTTATGATAAAGATTATTTTTGAGTACTCCATACTTGTTACACATGTTTGTATTGTGAGATGGCCGATTTTTTACCCCATCTTTGCTGTTATAGCCATATGTTAAGATCAACATTTATAGTATGGAGTACTTTTTTAAGTATTGTGATATTTGATCAAGATTGATCTTGATTGATACGTCATTAATAAATGACATTAACAATACGATTTAGTCTCCATTATTATTTAGAATCCTACATATGATCTAACAGCAAAATACTGTGGTATCTTTGCTCGGTTTCAGAGATGACATACATGTTTTTACCAAGGACTGCTCCAAAAAAATACTGATAGGTTACCTCCGATAACAGGGATCGAATCTGTGCCTGCCAACAAACCAGAGTTCAAACGCGGTCAAACACTGTAGACCTGACAGCCAATTATAGATACACATTTTCTCTGCGAACAATCAAATATGCACATACATCAGCTACAAAGACGATGTTGTGGGCCCCAAGGGCTTCAAGTATCGTCTGTTTGTTTTAGACACATAACACTTCATGCGAACACATCACAGTGTGACGCGTTGGTTAATAGATTTCTTTTCTGACATGGCTCCAAATAAACCATCCTGGCTGGGAATCACTGACATATACACGATAGAGCACCACAGCTTCATCTTTGGTCAATTTGTGTAACTTATAAATCGTTTTAGTCAAGACTATTAATAGTGACACCATTATAAAAGACGGTGATTGTAAATATTTGAGCATGCATCGTACAGTCGAAATCCTTCGAAACTAAATGTAACAACCCTGAAAATGAGACAGTAAGAAATATTTTCGCGAATTCGATTCTTCTCTAATGATGAACGTGAGCATATCGATGTTAAAAGCAAAACCCCACATTTCATTCCCAATAACCATAAAACAAATAAAAGCATGGGTATGCATTTCGATTTATACTGTATAATCTAAAATAGCGAAACAAATATAAGGCGTAATATCCGTGACTGTAGCTGCTAAAATCAATTGAATGTATAATGTACATACAATAATGCCTCTAAGCAAAACTCGTGGACTAGATCACAAACCTTAACCTAAATCAAGTCGAGCACGACGCGAATCCGTATAGTCGTTAAAGGTGTATGAAACATGCCGAGTATGTTTGCAACTCTACGTGATGTTTTTGTATTGAAGCAAAAAACAGTGTTTACATACGGTTATAGCGAGTTTGTTACAAGTGATTATAATCGTGCAGTATTTAGCTCGTGATGTCCACGTAGAGTGTAACCAATTACATCGCAATCTATTTCATGACTTTCATTTAGTCATACAATTAACATATTGAGGCAAAATAGGATTACAAACGTGCTTCCAATATCCCATTATATGTAGCGAATTCCGGTTGTAGCGATTGGTTAAAGGAATCCACTGAAATTATCTCAATAAAAATATTGAATCCCGGGTTAAGTGACTGACAGTTGATATCCAAGTTTATCGTAGTTCTGCTTGTGACCACTGTATATAAAAAAATGATTGAAAACAATCCAATGTGACATTTGTATAGAATGTAACAGTTCATGCCAACACAGTGACGTCCCAATAGATATGAGGCGATGATATCATTCGAATGATGAGTTGATTCCTATTAATTTTGATAATACAGTCTATCTTTTAATGAACGAAATAAGAAACCAAGACTCCAAAGTGCCACTCATTCTCTGATTGCTTAACGTTTTCGAAATGTACTTTCATTGCTCAGACTTTTAACGTACATTCAATGAATACATATTATCATAGTTAATTTGAACATCTTCTAGTAAATGACTCCAACGAGTTATTTTACCAGTTTTGCAATTCGAAAAAAAAAACACATATTGGACTGGTGTCTTAGCGCCGACATGAATTAATTGTGAAATAAAGATGCACAGGGGCGGATTTTTATCTTACATTTTTATAACGTCGCTATTTATAAAAGAAACTGTTCAGATATGACGATTTCGAAAGTATATCTCTCTGCATGACAGGACCGATCCATGGATTAACACGACTAGCGGATACGGAACCATGTCTTCATTTGACATGGAGGGTAGGGATAGGCATTGAGGATTGCAATTAGTCACAGCGAACTATTTACACCAAAACCGAGCCCAATTACTCTGCGTTCGATGTTCATTACTGCGGAGGGCGAAAAGGCATAATTATTGCTCCGTTGCTTTTTCCACATTCATTTTAAGATTAAATTACCTATTAAGTGTTGAGTAGACGTCAGCTGTCTGCTAATGTGAACGACAGAATTTTCCATGATTGTTAATTAGCAATAATTGATAATTTGGGGTGTCCGTCTGTATCAGCGTATACTCTAATTCACTCATACTATTGTCCCTCCTGACCCTTAAGTGTTGCTTAGACATACGGCCGAGGGCAAAATGTTCACAGAACTGTTAGCATGACATTGTGTTGAAGTAAGAGTAAAGAATGAAATATTTTCCTTATTGAACAAACAGTTCGAATAATTATAAAATGTCAGTGTTGACTGTTATGATTCTCTAGAATATAAATATAATTGTTTGATTAAAAGGCCCGTAACGAAATACGAAGACACAGGTGACGATTGCGTTATAAGCTGGTCATGTTCTGGACAATAGGACTTGATAGATTAAGAATCTCAGGACGGAACATATGAAGTTAGCAAGGTGATCTTGTTTCATATCCTACAGACTGTTCCCTAGTTTGTAATATAACTCTAATACAGTTAAATGTCTAGCCCCACATGCCCATTGGTTATTAAAGCCACGTGTTGTGTGTCACATTCGGAGTCCAGAGATTCAAATTGTCTTGAAGGCCGTTACTCGGGCTTTTGTCATTAAATGCAAGTGAATTATAGGTAACGTTCAGGATCAAACGATAGAGGTTGTTTGGAAGGCCGCGTATTTAATACTTAAGGCAGGTATAAACTAAATGAAAGTTGTAAGTTAAATTCAGGTTCTTTAGATGCCCTTAATAAACTACATATACATGTATAATAATTGTTGTAAGGTCAACTGGTGAATTTATGTGGCAGAACATTACGTACGTAAGCTATACACATTAACCATGCATTCATATATATGTAAGTCCACAATAGGAATTAACCCCATAAGCAACATTCATAGAAGTTTGAACAGAAACCTGAAACACATGGTTTGGGGTGACGTCATTTGTTCGTAAAATGAACATTTGACAGTACACTTATATAACAACGTAAACAAATAGCTTTGAATTAATTCGTCAAGAGCCTGATACGATTTATGAATCGCTGTTCCTTATATTGTTCCGTTAATAATACGCTCATTAACACAATGAACTGAGAACTTAGTCTCCGGCGATCATTGTTCTGAGTGAAATGCCAATCCTTCTCAAACACTCTAGCTTGTTTGTTTTGCTGTCATAATGACCATTAAACTAATATTTAGTTATTCACCTGATCTATTGAACGATGCTGTTTGAAACTAATTAGATATGCAATTAAGTGTAAATGTGCGCTTGGGGTGGTGGTCTGTGTACGGTTGTCTGAATAAGGTATCGTTCGGCTGGTCGGTCGTTAAATTCTGTGAGAGAAATATGTTCAAACTACATCTAACGACCACTTTTATTTAACGATCGGTTTTCAAAATTCCCTCGGTTGGTTGCTTAATACAGATTGCAATGTAGTTGAGCAATTGGTGTTACAATAACAATAACAACACATCATCATTTCCATGTTTTCAGCTTTGTCATGTTTAACTTAATTCAAAGTGACATCAAAGTCATGTTTGAAAATTCGTTTTGGACTGAAGTGCAAGCTATATATCAAAGCAAATTGAAAAGAGGGTTTTTGGCATGTGCAATGTCACACGTTTCAAAATAAGAAAATTCGCTGATTGGTCACCAGCTGTTCGACATAAAATCACTATCATATACCGCTTTGCTTATTTATTGCATGGTATTTAATATGTACATGTATATGTGTCCTTAGTGTGTTACGCCAAGTAGCAATCAAGATTGATGTTCCGTCTCTTTATTAGTACAATCGTATATATTCTATGTGTTATACGTTTAAAGCATACGACTTCCGCTCGAACTCAACCTGGTATCCATCTTCTGGACTTAAATGCTGGAAGATAAGACATATCATTATATAGATAAAAAGAAAACATAATAATCATTTCATTCAAGTCGAAACAACGTAAATGCAGTGTTATTTTTAATATAACTATCATAAAAATAAATGTTGTTGAAATTAAAATCACTAATAAATGTACTTTGCTTATTTTCAGACATTGCTTCTTCCTGAATGACGTTATGTGTTAGACCTATTTCGTCCACGGAGACCGACCTCGTTTTGGATTTGGTGGAGTAAAGATAATCGCAGGCGTGTAATATTGGAAGCCTACTTAAAATCCCTGAAAATGAACTCAAATACAAATTAAGCTTTTTGAACTACGATTGACGTCAATAAACATCTCAAAATCACAAGAACTGAATGTTGTTTTCTTAAATTAACATTTGCAGTTTAAATGATCACTCTACGCTTCTTGTTTGCTCCCTTTCATAGTTCCTTTTAAAGTTAAGTGATGAAAGGAATGAACAATGAGATACGAAAGAACATCTTATGTGGCATACTGTTAAATTAAAATGTTTGGTGTATTATCAATAAAGCAGTTGATGAGCTATAGTGATGCTAGTTATTTTTGAAAATTGCGTCATCTGTAGCTCCGCCAATATGTACTACAAATGTATAAGCTTAGCAATCAGCCATTTTGACATGAATGTACATGCATCTATTCAATATTTTTTCACAAATATAAATCAATTTACCAACACACAATTTACACAATCATTTCAGCACATACTTATGTAACAATGTATGTAATTATGTAATCACAAAACTTGATCAGAACTTTTTGTATGACTTAAAGTCGTAGCTTTTTCAAACAGACCAAATTACCAAACAGAAACAACTGCAAGTTTAATGGAAAATAATGATAGTTTAGAGTTGTTTTAAGCTGTAGTAACATAACGTCGTTATTCCACTCAATGTCGATTGCCCACCGCTATAACCTGATTACCAAGGTCTGTATTCATGAAAACGTGCCCGTACTCTGAGTCAGTTTCCATCATCCGTACAAGACTTTGGACTAAAGCATAGATACATGTAAATACAAATTCCCCTTTTGTCTATGATTTAAAGGAATGTTCGGGAGTTCTGTGTCTAGTCCTGATTTATTAACCTTGTCAAATGATTTAAAGCAACTTATAAGGAGATTGGTTTGAGCATGAGAACAGTTTCATTACTTTTTGTCCTGGTCTTCGGTTTATAATAAGTGATTTAGCTTCTTAGACTACCTTGATTCTAGTTCTTTTTCTCTTTATTGCTTGTCTCGAGAAGCAAATTAAATGACTTCCTGGAATTTAATGAAGAGTTATGCCTAAAAGAACATGCAACATGCACATAATGCGCAATTGTAGGCCAGTCAATCAATATTATGTATTTCAGTGTCAAATGTCACAATTACATTGATACATTTTAAAGGTAAACAGTTTCATATTACTACACCCATATACTAGAAGACGCAACATTTTCCTTAGTCCTAACTGGTTTTAACATCGAGATCGGTGGTTATGTGATGTTGACTCGGTGTTACTATCTTTAGAAACAGCAGGTCGATATTGTCTTTATGACGTCACTTCAATTGTAACGTCATATTGCTTTTCGTTGAATGCATTGTTTTTTTCTTTTCAATTTGCTTACGTTCTATTAAGTTCAATGAAAAAAATCAAATAACAATTAAGGACTTTACTTTTGGTTGATATGTGTCTAGATGGACCTGCAAAAAAAGTCATATTTACCTCGACCTCGTCTCGATCAATATCACTTTCTCATGTTCATATAACCATAAATTTACCTCAACAAAAGTCCATAATTGATAAATAGTTATATAGCAGGGATCAATCATTGTATACAAGGTATGTATGCAACGAAAAGCAATATGACAAGATACAATATATGTATCTGACACCTCAGAAGACACTTATTCATTTCGTTGACTGTTCGCTGTATTCGTCAGCAACAGATTAACTATAAACATACACGGCCAATCACTGTACGTAAAACACTGTGAGGTTGACATGTTTGATGATGATAATAACATTCAAATAAAAGGCAACATTGCCTCGCATATTGGCTCCCTTCATCATGAAGATCTTCAGAATAGTTCAGCCTTGTACTGTAATGATAACATTATGATGAATACGTCAAAAACGAAGAGAACGTTGATTCGGAGCAAAGAAAACAAAACCAGAACAAGTTATAGAAATGGAAGTTGACGATATTACCATATGTTTAATGAAGCTTATGCTCAATTTACAGTTACTTTGCTTGATCTGTTGTTTTGTCGATCTTATTAATACGAAACTTTTAATATCGATCAGGTTCAACCTTTGCTCATTTTTAATAAAGCTGTTATCAATAATACAAGGATCGCATTAGCATTATGTCATTTAGACAGTACACTTCTACTACATCGAGTACTATCGATATCGGTTATTATCAATGCTAAGTTTACAAGTCTGGCGCCATGGATAAAAGTGCATATGGACCCAAAACGTCACAACACTGCTGGCGGCTATGTGTTTTATATAGTGATAGTGTATAGGATTAATACAGGGTAGGAGATGGGGAATGCATACGTGGAAGAAAGTGTGGTGAAGATTCCAAAGTTCATCGTGAAAGCATGAACAATCGAAGTCAAGAGGGATCAACGATGAGAGTATACAACTCGCAAGTATGTCGCCGTATCAATAAGTACCGGCTGATACATTATTTCCGTCCGTGTTTGACGGTACATATTGTAAACAATAGCACAGACGTTCTGACTCTCACGAGCTTGTTAACTAGCCATGCTGACAAATCCTCACCACAATACACGTAGCTGTCCATAGACAGAGCCACAATACTATTGGTTTACCATAGACTGTGAGACACAATACACGTAGCTGTCCATAGACAGAGACACAATGCCGTTGGTTTACCATAGATTGTGAGACACAACACACGTAGCTGTCCATAGACAGAGACACAATACCGTTGGTTTACCATAGATTGTGAGACACAACACACGTAGCTGTCTATAGACAGAGACACAATACATGTAACTGTCCATAGACAGAGACACAATACCCTTGGTTTACCATCGACTGTGAGACACAATACACGTAGCTGTCCATAGACAGAGTCACAATACTATCGGTTTACCATAGACAGTGAGACACATTGCACGTAGCTGTCCATAGACATAGACACAATACCCTTGGTTTACCATAGACTGTGAGACACACTACACGTAGCTGTCCATAGACAGAGACACAATACCCTTGGTTTACCATCGACTGTGAGACACAATACACGTAGCTGTCCATAGACAGAGACAAAATACCCTTGGTTTACCATAGATTGTGAGACACAATACCCGTAGCTGTCCATAGACAGAGACACAATACCGTTGGTTTACCGTAGATTGTGAGACACAACACACGTAGCTGTCTATAGACAGAGACACAATCCATGTAACTGTCCATAGACAGAGACACAATACCCTTGGTTTACCATCGACTGTGAGACACAATACACGTAGCTGTCCATAGACAGAGACAAAATACTATCGGTTTACCATAGACAGTGAGACACATTGCAAGTAGCTGTCCATAGACAGAGACACAATACCGTTGGTTAACCATAGACTGTGAGACACAATACACGTAGCTGGCCATAGACAGAGACACAATACCCTTGGTTTACCATCGACTGTGAGACACAATACACGTAGCTGTCCATAGACAGAGACAAAATACCCTTGGTTTACCATAGATTGTGAGACACAATACACGTAGCTGTCCATAGACAGAGACACAATACTATCGGTTTACCATAGACAGTGAGACACATTGCACGTAGCTGTCCATAGACAGAGACACAATACCGTTGGTTAACCATAGACTGTGAGACACAATACACGTAGCTGGCCATAGACAGAGACACAATACCCTTGGTTTACCATAGATAGTGAGACACAATACACGTAGCTGTCCATAGACAAAGACACAAGTCCGTTGTTTTACCATAGATTGTGAGACACAAAACACGTAGCTGTCCATAGACAGAGACACAATACCCTTGGTTTACCATAGATTATGAGACACATACACGTAGCAGTCCATAGACAGAGACACAATACCCTTGGTTTACCATAGATTATGAGACACAATACACGTAGCTGTCCATAGACAAAGACACAATACCGTTGTTTTACCATAGATTGTGAGACACAATACACATAGCTGTCCATAAACAGAGACACAATACTATCGGTTTACCATAGACTGTGAGCCACAATACACGTAGCTGTCAATAGACAGAGACACAATACCCTTGGTTTACCATAGATTGTGAGACACAATACACGTAGCTGTCCATACACAAAGACACAATACCGTTGTTTTACCATAGATTGTGAGACACAATACACGTAGCTATCCATAGACAGAGACACAATACTATCGGTTTACAATAGACTGTGAGACACAATACACGTAGCTGTCCATAGACAGACACACAATACCGTTGGTTTACCATAGACTGTAAGAAACAATACACGTAGCTGTCCATAGACAGAGACACAATACCCTTGATTTACCATAGACAGTAAGACACAATTCACGTAGCTGTCCATAGAGAGAAACACAATTCCCTTGGTTTACCATGGACTGTTAGACACAATACACGTAGGTGTCCATAGACAGAGACATAATACCCTTGGTTTACCTTAGATTATGAGACACAATACACGTATCTATACATAGACAGAGACACAAGACTATCGGTTTACCATATACTGTGAAACACAATACTCCTAGCTGTCCAAAGACAAAGACAAAATACCCTTGGTTTACCTTAGATTATGAGACACAATACACGTAGGTGTCCATAGACAGAGACGCAATACCCTTGGTTTACCTTAGAGTGTGAGACACAATACACCTAGCTGTCCATAGACAGGGACACAATACCCTTGGGTTACCATAGATTGTGAGACACATTACACGTAGCTGTCCATCGACAAAGACACAATACCCTTAGTTTTCCATAGATTGTGAGACACAATAAACGTAGCTGTCCATAGAGAGAGACACAATCCCCTTGGTTTAGCATGGCCTGTGAAACACAATACACGGAACTGTCCATAGACAGAGACATAATACCCTTGGTTTACCATAGGTTGTGAGACACAATACATGTATCTATCCATAGACAGAAACACAATACCCTTGGTTTATCATAGATTGTGAGACACATTACACGTAGCTGTCCATGGACAGAGACACAATACTTTCAGTTTATCATAGATTGTGAGACACAACACACGTAGCTGTCTATAGACAGAGACACAATTCCCTTGGTTTACCATGGACTGTTAGACACAATACACGTAGGTGTCCATAGACAGAGACATAATACCCTTGGTTTACCTTAGATTATGAGACACAATACACGTATCTGTACATAGACAGAGACACAATAGCCTTGGTTTACCATAGATAGTGAGACACAATACACGAAGCTGCCAATAGACAGACAAACAATACCGTTGGTTTACAATAGATAGAGAGACACA